CTTCATCCCAGGAATGCAAGGGTGGTTCAACATACGGAAATCCATCAATGTAATCCACCACATAAACAAAATGAAGGAGAAAAACCACATGATCATCTCCTTAGATGCTGAAAAAGCATTTGACAAAGTCCAACACCCATTTATGTTTAAAGTCTTGGAGAGATCAGGGATACAAGGCACATACCTAAAGATAGTAAAGGCAATATACAGCAAGCCTATAGCCAACATCAAACTCAATGGAGAGAAACTTAAATCAATCCCACTGAAATCAGGGACAAGATAAGGCTGCCCACTCTCTCCATATCTCTTTAACATTGTACTTGAAGTCCTAGCCAGAGCAATAAGACAACTAAAGGAGATCAAGGGGATACAAATCGGAAAGGAAGAGGTCAAAGTGTCACTATTTGCAGATGATATGATAGTATACATGAGCGAACCCAAAGATTCAACCAGAGAACTTCTTCAGCTGATAAACACCTTCAGCAAAGTGGCAGGATACAAAATCAACTCAAAAAAATCAGAAGCCCTCTTGTATACCAAAGACAAAAAGGCCGAGAAAGAAATTAGGGAAACAACACCCTTCACAATAGCCACTAATAACATAAAGTACCTTGGTGTGACTCTAACCAAGCAAGTGAAAGACCTGTTTGAGAAAAACTTCAAGTCTTTGAAGAAAGAAATTGAAGAAGATCTCAGAAGATGGAAAGATCTCCCGTGCTCATGGATTGGTAGGATTAACATTGTGAAAATGGCCATCCTGCCAAAAGCAATTTACAGATTCAATGCAATTCCCATCAAAATACCAACTCAATTCTTTACAGACCTTGAAAAAAAGATTCTCAGCTTCATATGGAGAAACAAAAAACCCAGAATCTCCAAAACAATTCTGTACAACAACAGATCATCTGGAGGTATCTCCATTCCCGATCTCAAGCTGTACTACAGGGCAACAGTAATAAAAACTGCATGGTATTGGCATAGAAACAGAAAGGAGGATCAATGGAATCGCATAGAAGACCCAGAAATAAACCCACACACCTATGAATACTCAATATTTGACAAAGAAGCCAAATCCATTCAATGGAAAAAAGACAGCATCTTCAACAAATGGTGCTGGACCAACTGGATGTCTACATGCAGAAAAATGAAAATAGACCCATATTTATCACCCTGCACAAAACTAAAGTCCAAGTGGATCAAGGACCTCAACATAAAACCAGATACTCTACATCAGCTGGAAAAAAAAGTGGGAAACAGCCTAGAACTCATTGGCACAGGAGACAACTTCCTGAACAGAACACCAACAGCACAGGCTCTAAGAGCAACAATCAATAAATGGGACCTCATGAAACTGAAAAGCTTCTGTAAAGCAAAAGACACTGTCATCAAAACAAATAGACAGCCTACAGATTGGGAAAGAATCTTCACCAACCCTTTATCTGACAGAGGGCTAATATCAAGTATATATAAAGAACTAAAGAAGCAGAAAAGCAACAAACCAAGTAATCCACTTAAAAAATGGGGAACAGAGCTAAACAGAGAATTCTCGAAAGAGGAACATCGAATGGCAGAGAAACACTTAAAGAAATGCTCAACCTCATTAGCCATTAGGGAAATGCAAATCAAAACGACCCTGAGATTTCACCTTACACCCATCAGAATGGCCAAGATGAAAAACTCAAGTGATAGCACATGCTGGAGAGGTTGTGGAGAAAAGGGAACCCTCCTCCATTGCTGGTGGGAATGTAAACTGGTTCAACCACTCTGGAAGTCAATCTGGCGCTTTCTCAGACAACTAGGAGTAGTGCTACCTCAAGACCCAGCTATACCACTCCTAGGTATATACCCAAAATTTGCTCAAGTACACAACAAGGACATTTGTTCAACCATGTTCATAGCAGCTTTATTTGTAATAGCCAGAACTTGGAAACAACCCAGATGTCCATCAACGGAGGAATGGATACAGAAACTGTGGTATTTTTACACAATGGAATACTACTCAGCAATCAAAAAGGAAGAAATCATGAAATTTGCAGGCAAGTGGTGGGATCTAGAAAAGATCATTCTGAGTGAAGTATCCCAGAAGGAGAAAGACAAACTTGGTATATACTCGCTTATATAGACCTACAAGACATGATAAACATAATGAAATCTACACACCTAAAGAAGATAATCAAGAAAGTGGACACAGGCGAAGGTGATTAATCCTCATTTAGAAAGACAAATGGGATGTGCCTTGAACTTATGACAGGAGTCTACCACAAAAGGCATCTGAAAGACTCTACCTAGCAGTGTTTCAAAGCAGACACTAAGACTCATAACCAAACCCTCGGCAGAGTGCAGGGAATCATATGAAAGAAGGGAAGTTAGTATGATATGGAAAGGATAGGAGCTCTACAAGGACCAAATATATCTGGGCACAGGGTCTTTTCTGAGACTGAAACTCAACCAAGGACCATCTATGGATATAACCTAGAACTTCTGCTCGGATGTGGCCTGTGGTAGCTCAGTAACCAAGTAGTTTTCCAAAGTAAGGGGGACACGGACTATTTCTAACAGGATCTCAAGGGCAGGCTGTTTGACACCTCCCCCCAGGGGAGGAGCAGTCTGTTAGGCCACAGAGGAGGACTTTGCAGCCAGCCCTGAAGATACCTGATAAAACAGGGACAGATGAAATGGGAGGAGGTCCTCCCCTATCAGGGGACTTGGAAAGGGGCAGGGAGGAGACCAGGGAGGGAGTGTGGGGTTGGGGAGGGAATGAGGGAGCGGGATACAGCTGGGACACGGAGTTAAGAAAATGTAACTAAAAAGAAAAAATAAAATAAAAAAAAAAAAAAAAAAAAAATTCCTCCAACTTAAAGGAGAGGCCTATAAGCATACAAGAGGCCTACAGAAAACCTAATAGATTAGACCAAAAAGAAAATCCTCCCGCTACATAATAATCAAAACAGTAAGTGCACAGAACAAAGAAAAAATACTAAAAGCTGCAAGGGAAAAAAGGCCAAGTAACATAATGGCAAACCCATAAGAATCACACCTGACTTCTCAACAGAGACTATGAAAGCCAGAAGGGCCTGGATGGATATCATGCAGATCCTAAGAGACACGGGTACAAAGACTGACAATGTATCTGCATATGTCTCCATTAAGATGAAGCAATTCTTTGCATATTATAATATAAAGCACATTACAGGTATAGCACACAAATCTACAGGACAAGCAGTTGTATAAAGATCTAGCTGCACCTTAAAGGAAAAATAAATACCACCAGGGATAGACCAAATAGTGCTCTGTTAACTTTAAATTTTCTGAACATTAACAAGAATGAAACAGCAGCTGAGACTTTATAAACTTAATAGGGTTTATAGAAAAAAAGCTGTAGGATAAAATAGGCTTATATAGTATAAGGAGGTGTTATAGTCAGAATGGAAGTCAATGCATGTTTTGCATTAGGGATGTGGATTTGTTTATATTTCCACAGGAAATAAAAAGCTGTGAAAGTAATATAGCTCAGAGTTGAGCAGGGAAGGTCTTCTGAAAACCTTGACCACTGACCCAAAAAGAGCAAAGAAGAGAGCCTGAGTAGCCACTGCCTTCCCCGGCCAGCCAGAAAAGCCTGTCAAGAAACACTCAGCTCCTAACCACTGATAGGCCTATAAGCAGGACTTTGGTCTCCTGCAATACAGAGCCATCCACAATGCAAAGCCACAACAAGACAGACTATGCTAAATACTGCATCCTGCAGGCCTAAGTTGGGGCTGCAAGCTAAAGGTTCACAGAGCTGAGGACAGAGAACTCCAGCACAAGGTGCTAGAAGATAAGACAGTCCAGAGGTATAGGAAAGAAGCATTGTTGTTAGGTTATCTCACTTGTAGGTATGCTCCTGAGAGATGAACTGAAATAACACAGACACCTGAGAACCCTGGAAAAGACACTGGAGAGAGTAGAAAAACAACAACAAAAAACAAAACAAAACAAAGCAAAAAAACAGTAGCATGGCAGTTTCAAAACTGAATAATCAGTAGCTAAAACAAATGAGGGTGGGGGCAATGTAGTGTTATTTATCTTGTGTGCCAGAACCTTTAAAGGATCCTCAATTGTTACTCAACTAGCCCTTTACGAATTCTTACCTGGAAAGGATCATCCTGAGTGAGTTGTCCCAGAAGCAAAAAGACACACATGGTATATACTCACTCATATAAACATACAACATAGAATAAACCCACTAAAATCTGTCCATCTAAACAAACTAAGCAAGAGAGGACTCTAACTAATATGTTCAATCCCCATCCTGAAAGGCAAAGAGGATGGACATCAGAAGAAAAAGAAAACAGGAAACAACCTAGGAACCTGCTACAGAGGGCCTCTGAAAGCCAGAAGAAAACAGGAAACAACCTTGGAACCTGCCACAGAGGGCCTCTGAAAGCCTCTGCAGTATAGACTGTCAAAGCAGATGCTGAGCCTGATGGCCAACTGATGGGCAGAGTGAATGGAATTTTATGTAAGAAGTGGGAAATAGTAAGAGCTGGAGGGGACGGGAACTCTACAAGGAGAGCAACAGAACAAGATAATTTGAACACAGGGAACTTCCCAGATATTCATACTCCAACCAAGGACTATTCGTGGAGATAACCTAGAACCCCTGCACAGATGTAGCCCATGGCAGTTCAGTGTCCAAGTGGGTTACATAGTAATGGGAAGAGGGACTGCCTCTGACATAATCTGATTGGCCTGCTCTTTGATCACCTCCCCCTGAGGGGGGAGCAGCCTTACCAGGCCACAGTAGAGTTGGACAATGCAGCCACTTTTGATGAGAACTGATAGACTAAGATCAGAAAGGAGAGGAGAACCTCCCCTATCAGTGGACTTGGGGAGGGGCATGCATGCAGAAAGGGGAAGGAGGGTGGGATCGGGAGGGGAGGAGGAAGGGGCTTATGGGGGGATACAAAATGAATAAAGTGTAATTAATAAAAAATTAAAAAAATAAATGTTAAAAAAAAAGAATTCTTACCTGTACTACTTGACCCTATGACCTTCAGTGTTGGTTGCCTCTTGGATTTCTAGGAATCGGATCAAACACATACACAAACAAAGCCAGCTGAGATATGTGTAGGGGGCGGGTGGCTAGCAGAGGAAGAAGAGAAGGCAGTTGGTGCAGAAGATGTTGTAAGAAGACAGTTGAGCCAGAAAAACCTGAGCTGAGTAGAGAGGCTACAAGAGTTGTTATAGTTTGGAGCTGCTGGTATTGGGAAAACTGGAAGAAGCAGCTGTTTAAGCAGGCTGTTGGAGAACTGGGGGGAAGAACAGCTGAAAGAAGCATTAAAGGGGTTGCTGGAAACTGGGAAGGGCTCTGCTGGGGAGTTAAGAGAACTAGTCACTGTTCTACAACAGCCATTTTGCAAATTACACTGGTGTCTGTCTGATAGTGAGCTGCCCAATATAATAGTCATGTACCACCTGTGGCAAATAAGCACTCAAAACATGGCTTTCCATAGTGAGGAGTGGCATGAATATAAAATGCACTGTATTTTGAAGACTGCATGTGAAAAGCTAATCTCTCAACATATTTGTATTCATTAAACTGTCTGGGTTTACTTCCTGGTAAAATACATTTTGGGTCAATCTTGTCTTCTCTTTTTATGGTTTTAAGCCTTGCATGTTATATGTGTCACAATCCCATTCAGTGGTACTTGTGTAGCAGTGGCATAATGTAGTACTATTCCTTAACAGAGTCACCCTTGAGCCACACAGACAGGGCAGCCCATAAGGTCCGCTCACAAGTCCCTGTCACGCGGAGAAGACTCCTCTGCTTCCTTGGGCCAGTTACTCTTGTTCCAGCGCTTTATTCTGAGCATTTCAACCGGCGGCGGCGGCTCTCTCCTGCTTACTGATTTGTCTCCCTGCCGCCGCTCAACACTCTCCTGAACCTCTGTTTCTTTCTGACACTCCCGAACTTTCCTTGTGGGAGCTTCAGATGTAGGAGCATCCATCATACTTAGAAAATCAAAGGCTGGAAGAGGAGGTTTCCACTCCTGAGTAGATAAAACTGCTGAAAGAGACAACCAAAAGTTTTAATGATTAACACAGATGACATCACTGTATGAAAGTGTATTCTGAAATACATATTTGTTAGGAGGGCCTTATCTTGCTTTTGTGTTTGTGGTTATGCAAGGAGAGTGTATGCACTTTCCAGCATGTAGGCAGAGGCCAGAAGAGAAGTCCATTGTTTTTATTGCCCTCTATCTTGTTTTTTTTGAGACAGAAGCAGAAGGGGAGTGGGTGGGTATAGAAAAGAAAGGGGTTTAATCTATTCCCTAAGGAAAGACACTAATCCATTCAAGAGGGCTCACTCTTATACCCCACCTACTAGAACATACCTTTCCAACACACCCAAATGCGTTTCAAAGTATACAAGCCATAACAAGAGAGGTATTTAGTATTGTTAAAATGAGTTACAGCTGTGAGCCAGGTGTGGTAGTGCACACCGTTAATCCCAGCACTCAGGAGGCAGAGGCAGGCAGATCTCTCTGAGTTTGAAGCCAGCCTGGTCTATAAAGTGAGTTCCAGGACAGCCAGGCTACACAGAGAAACCCTGTCTCCAAAATTAAAAAAAAAAAAAATGAAAAAAGTAAAAAGTAATTTACAAAATTGAGAAAAAAAGTCACTTATAAAGCAGTCATTTGGGAGTGGAAGAGATGGCTCAATGGTTAAGAGCATTTGCTGCTCTTGAAGAAGGCCTGGGTTCAATTCCCAGTGCCCACACTGTGTGGTTTACAATGGCTAATAACTCAAGTTCCTGGGAACCCAACCCCTCTTCGAGTTTCTGAGGGCTCCTGTTTGCACACAGTGTATAACAAGGGATCTTCACTTTGGCAGGCCAATGTTCTCAATGTGACACTTTTTAAAACTAGAATATATTATATATCTTCACGTGTCTGAAGATACTGAAGATACACAAGCCACATGGACTCCACACATGAGCATTCAAGAGGAGGAGGCCTGAGTAGGTGAGGCAGTGGTCTCCATTTGGCACTTTAGGACTCAGACTGTTCCACAGAAAATGTGATCAGTGCACTAATACTTCTAGCACATATAAGCGTTACAGCTTTGCTCATTCACATCTTTATTAATTATGATTAACATTTAAAACCTATGCAACAAAATGCTGAATTATATGCACTGAAGAAAATAAAAAACTTACTTATGGGATTTTCTAGTCCCGCTTCAAGTTTTTTAAGCCACAATACAAGGTTTTGTTCTGTCACAGACTGGGCTGAAGGAAATGCATATACTTGGCCACCTGAATGCAGATTCACCAAAAGCAGCTGAGGAAGCGGTGGCAGAGAACCAAAATATGCCTTCAAGATTCCCCTCCCCACTGGAGTGTTCTTTCTGCAAGAAGGGATGATTGAATGTATTAATTATTCCTTTTATGACAACAAAAAAATATACTCATTTAGAGAGCTCATTTAGATAGCTTCAATTATTAGCCTGCCAGAAAGCTTATGAAACAACTTCCCCCAACCAAGAGGCCTACAATTAAATTAGTAATCAAATTCTTCTAAAGTTTCCTTGTGAGATAGGGCAGTCTATCATGGGAGGAAAAAAAGGCAGCCGGTGACTTTCCATGAATATCACCATGACCCCAAAGCCTTATCAACACAGACTTGACACAAGTGATAAGTTCTCCTTAGAGTTTAGCTAATTTTCTCCCTGTGTGCCAGCTCCAAACTGACCTGGCCACAAGTATTAACAGGATGCTTCCTTTTACAAGCATTTCTTTCCCTCAAGATTTTGCCTTTTCTTTAGGAAGGAGGGGTTCACTACACATTAAAGATTTTAAAAAGTAACTACATTCCTACAAAGAACTAAACATGAAAGATGCCTAGCTTTCTATGCAGCGCCTTAGATACCGACAGTGATAGTTACCTAGGTAAACTTTCCTTCAAGAGTAGGATGTAGCATTAAGACTCCACAACAAAAATGTACATTGTCCCATTTTTGCTGTTTTTCAATTAAGATTTTTTAAAAAGCATGCCTTTCAGCTTGTGAGTCTAAACAAGGCTTATATGTGCACGTGAGCTGTGTTCACAAGACATTTAATGATGCACACCGGTCATTCCACTAAGGGTACACTGGATAATGTCTCTAATGCTTTGGGTGACCACATGGAGGAAGAGAATAAAGTTTGTAAATATCACAATGCTTACCTTCTTAATTGCCACCATTTTCAGTGGACATCAACTACTTTCAAAAACCAGAATAATATTACCTACAATTATTTTAGAATAACAGTCAAGTCTAAACAATGTCATCTTGGAATTTGTGTGAGGAAGCTAGTTATGCAAATATCATGATGGCATATTTAGCCCCATGTTTACTCCAAAGGTTATAGAACTTAATCTCCTAATGAAAATGTAATTATTCTGTTTCTTTTCTGTAGAAACTGGCCTTGCGCTCATGAATGTTGTGATGATAGGCATGCATCATATCATAGGCATCCCCCAGCCTTTACCTCTTTACAGCAAAACAAAACCATACAATACATACTTACAGATTTAACCAGCAAGGGGTAAACGAATCCAACTGCTTCTGTCTCACCAGCGCCAGGGCTATGTTCCTATACTGACGGTTTATGCTGCCATCACTGAACAAGATAAGCAATGGTCTCTGAAATCTTAAATATGCAGGAAGATTTTCCACAGTGATTTCTGGCTGTTAAAAAAAAAAAAAAAGGCACCAAAATCCCTCAAACAAAATGTTGTCATGATACAGCATAAAGTAGAAATAATGCTCAAATCTCTCATACAATTTTAGTTCACACACTGTAATTCACAATTTCATTCAGAGATTTGACCACAGTAGGTAAATCTTAAGAGCTTCTTTTTTAATCCTACCTCACAGTAATAAGTTAAACTCAAAATAAAATTACTAACAGTTTAAGAACATATCCACTGATGTCTCTATAATAATTTATGCTGAACTCTGGACCCAGATTACTAATACACACATGATAGACAAGACTCTTTCATTCTTCCCTCTAGTAAATTTTTTTCAGTTAAAACATTAAACATTGATATTATTTTTCCCACTATCCATGATTAGCTTACTTTTCCCAAACATGAATTTTTTGGATGATTAAAACAATTAGAGATGTGCTAAACAAACCCAAAAAGACAATCTTGCCTCTTCTGAGTTTAAAGCAACTGAGAATTTAGTGAGGATTGAGAAATCTAATTTTCTACCATTCTTTTTTTTTAAATTTATTTATTTTTATTAATTACAGTTTATTCACTTTGTAGTCCCCCATAAGACCCTCCCTCCTCCCCTCTCAGTCCCATCCTCCCTCCCCCTTCTTCACGAATACCCCTTCCCAAGTCCACTGATAGGGAAGGTCCTCCTCTCCTTCCTTCTGATCTTAGTCTATCAGATCACATCAGAAATAGCTGCATTGTCATCTTCTGTGGCCTGGTAAGGCTGCTCTCCCCTCAGGGGGAGGTGCTCAAAGAACAGGCCAATCAGATTATGTCAGAGGTAGTCCCTCTTCCCATTACTATGTAACCCACTTGGACACTAAGCTGCCATGGACTACATCTGTGCAGGGGTTCTATCATTCTTAATCACTATTTTACAAGAGTAGCCTGCCGAGGATTCAGCACAGTAGTACAGCGCCCCCTGGAGGCACCTGTGACCTAGAAACATCTATCAGATGGCTTCAAGTTCCCAGAGGTTCGGTAGGGGAAGCTTGATTGGAATGCAGGTGTACTGCCTACCAGCTTCCTGTTTCACTGAGTCACTAGAAACCCCCATCAACAACCTGACTTTTTTAGATTATGCCAACGACCTTTGTACAGTATCATTTCATCTTCAAATATCAGCTACCATATACTTTTCCCTTTTTAGGTCTCAAATTGCCTTCCCTCTGCCAATCATTTTTCTTCCACTACTTTCTCTTCATACTCAAAATCATCATGTTAGATTTTCCTGCATCACAAATTAAATCTAGACCTTCGAATCCCCCAGGCTAGCTTTCTGTTCTAACTATTGTCTATCTTTTACATGTGTGACATTCCCCTCCTCAATGATGACAGATCTCATGGAGCCCCAAAACATGAGATCAAGGTAGGTTCTGGTCAACTAAGTTACTAAGAACTAAGAAGCGTGAAAAGTTATACCAGGCACTTCTTAAGGCACTTTCCTGCCCTCAAAGAATTCACACATTGGAAAAGACAGGGTGTTCAAACTGTTGTGATCCTTGAACACTTTTCATGTTGGACAGTAAGGAAGCTGGCATGTCAAAAAGACAAGGTGAGGACTCATGATTTGAGAAAGTCTCATTTTGATACAGTCTCTGAATAAAGAGTAAGATCCTGGAAAGCTAAGGTTTGTGCTCCAGCACAGAGCTTCAGATACCGAGAGCTATTATAGAAACAGAGCTGTTCAGGCTACATGTGAGCATCAGTGAGCTAAAGGACGTCAGTGTAGGAAAAGCAAGAGGCAAGTGTAACTGTAAGACCAAACAGGAATGCTGCAACAAGTCTCCTAGCTCCTGAGAACATGCAAATTTTGTATCGGATCAACAACACAGACAGGCTGGCCTGTTTGCAGAAGGATGACTAAGTAGAAGAGAAATTTGAGAAAACAAAGGTCAGTGATGGACAGTTTCCTTTTCTGTATCAATCAAGAAACTGGAGAACAGCTTGACATTCTCCTTAATAGTCATCATATATGTGTCCTGCCCACTCAGGCATATGTCAGAGCAAAGAAAGTTAGTGTCAACAAGCCTGTCATGGCAGCTTCCCCTGCGATGGCCCCAGCCCAGGAGCAATCAGTGCACCAGCAGGTAAGAGGCTGACAAAATCCCACCTGTTCATACAATGGACTACTCTTCAGCAAACTAGAAGAGAGCCCATGAGTGGCCATGTATATGGATGGATAGAAACACAGTAAAAGCCTCATTCTCCCGTTCTGAAAGCAGGAGCACATATTCTATCTGTAGCTCCATATATAGAAAACTGTATGTACACTCGTAGTAACAAAACGCAGACCAAGAGTTACCTGGGCAGGGCTGGGCTGGAGAGAATTTTCAAGGAGTGCAAAGGGACATGTACGAGTACCAGAAATAATATCTTGATTACAAGCAATGACATCAGGGATGTATGTCACATATCTATTGTTAATTTACCAAGTTGTTAAGGTATTGCACTGGGCTGGCAAGATGGTTCACTGAGTAAAGGTGCTTGCTGATCAAGCCTGAGGACTTGAGTTCAAGCCCCAGAACCCACAGAAGGAGAGAAGGGACTCCTTGAAGTTGTTCTCTGAGCGCCACACATGTGCTGTGGAGCTCACACCTGCACTCACACATAAACATCACATAACGATTAAAAATAAAAATAATAAAAAGAAAGAAAGACCAAGATGTCTGGAAGATGACAAATATCCACCAAGAGAAAACTGGTTAAGTAAACATGGAGCATTAACACAACTAAATATTGAGCAGACATTGAAAATAAGCATTTGTATATTTTCCTTCATGAAAATATACTTAATATAAAAAGATACAGATAATTGTTTTCAGATTTTGGAGAAATATATTCTCAAGTTTAAAACTGGAGAAGTTACAGTTGAGTCTAAATTCCTTCTCTACTGTTTTTATATTATTTGAAAAAATATAAAGTTACTATACCTACCATGTATATGTTAAGGTAGCATTTCTTTAATATCATGTCTCTTAAAAATCACAGTAACAATGACTTAGAAAACTACATTCTGAGAACATTAATTCAATTATTTGATTAATTATAACCTGTTAGTTTAGCAAAAGGATTGGGGGAATAAACTCAAGGCAACAGAGCAACTTGTTTTAAACACTACACTTATTTGAGTCCCTAATGTATTAGTATTTCAGTCAATGTGACAAGAATCCATTGTGACAGGAGACCATTCACTCAATATTTATAGCTGATAATAGTACCCTGTCATAACTTTAGAAATACAGACAGACAAATGTGCAGTGTTCTAGATACTGAAATCAAATAACCAACGTGACATCTGTTGTGTCTGTGACTCCATTAGCAGGCATTAGAAAGGGGGTCAGAAGGTGGCATTTTAAAACTGTATAAATTGGGCTGGAGACATGGCTCAGCAGTTAGGAGCGCTGGCTGTTCTTCCAGGGAATCCGCATTCGGTTCCCAGCGCCCAAGAGGCAGCTCACACCTGCCTGGAGCTCCAGTTCCAGAGGATCCAACACCCTCACATAGACATATATGGAGGCAGAACACCAATGCACATGAAATAAACAAACAAAATTTAAAAGTTTAATAGCAGCTGACACGTGCTAAACATTTGCTATAAGCCAGACCTTCGCCATGAGGAGGCACATGTAGTCCCAGGAGTGACTCCGCACCTCACATATGCAAAACTCAGAGCAGCAAAGGTGCCACATGGCTAGTAAGGGCTCCAGAAGAATTTGCAACCAGGAAGCCTGACCTTCTAGACCATCTGCATTGTAACAAGCTTCACCCTACATTAGACACTTTGGCCCTAGGAAGCCAGTAAACTTTTAGCAGCATACTGGAAAAGCTGTGTGTATAATCAGTGAACAACAAAACCAAACTTCAGCCACAAAGCATGCTACCCCAGAGCCTCTGAAAGCTGAAACATTATGTGCCAATATATATTATCATTAATCAATTGAAATTTTATTTCAAATAACTTCCTTATTATATACAATATACTCACAAATGCTTCCAGTTGTGCATTTGCTAGTATCTGAACCATGTCTTGCACCAGGGTGGTGTCTAGAGGGACACTCTCTATTCTACCTTCTTTGGGCCTGGCCAACAGCAGAGCTGGGAGAGTTGTAGCATATTTATTTGACCTATGGAGAGATTTATTATTAAAATTCAAACGAATATACAGCAAGTACCAGAAACACATACAGCCAGCCCATGACCTCCCACGGTGGGGGTTGGGGGAAGCACAGGGAAGCCTCACTGCTAGCTAGTGAGATGGTATATGCTGCAATCCCCACTATGAGAACTGAGGAAGGTGGTCATGAGTTTAAGGCCAGCCCAGACTATACACTGAGGTACTATTTCAAACAATAACCAAGTATAAACATTTTAAAAGACCTAGTGCTGAGGAGAAATTTCTTTCAATTTCCAGACAAATTTACGTGTGAGGTTGAGAAAGTTCAAGATTCTTGACAATTTCCACTAAAACAAACAAACAAACAAAACCAAACCACAATAATAATCTAAAGATGCCACCCTCAAGAAAATGTCTAAATAGGACCTGGAACAACAGCAGTGCTCTTTACCTTTCTTTACTGCTTATGACAGGCCTGAGTAAGGCCGGACACCGATGGAAAGCCTGCAATCCGTACTATACTATAGTACCTGCTATAGGTACTATAGTCAATGCCGTGTCTATACTCATCTACCCATCAGAGCACTTCTAACAGTAGTCCCTGTCATCCAGTCTTACAGCTGAATGGGGTTCAGAGGGCAAAGTTATAGACACTGAACTCCAATGAGCTCTATAGACAATGTGTGAAGAATTGTGTTACTACTAAATCTGATAAAACGCAAATCCTCTAAATCAGTGAAAAATGTTTTGTGTGGCACTGCCAGCAAAGGTATTTGGTGTGTGCAGGAACTTAACTCATTCCAGAACAAAGCACAGACACAATACCATAAAGATTGCTAAGATAATCCAGTGAAGGTACGAAGTTGACTAGCTAGCTGCCAAACACTCTGAAAACAGTATTGGCTCCACTCTTAATACCTTAAATGGTAATTAGCAGCAAAAAATAATAGGTGATTATATATTATCAGATAGACCTATTTCCTGGTTTAGCAATACTTACTAAAAAATGACTAATTTCATAAAGTCATCTAAATTTTGCCCATCAAGAAGTGTTCAAAATGAAAGATTTGAGCTCATAACAAAAGAATTAGTAACAGTGGAGCCAGAAAATTGAAAGCACAAACCACTGGGGCTTAACAAGTCTACTTACAAACACATGAGCTGTGTGAATGTGATGTATGTTGGTAAAAGCCTCAACATGTGGAGTACAGTCCTTTATTCTATAGCAGCCAAACTATACTAGTGGCCCACAGTTATCCCACCTTCCATAGAACAACTGAAGTTTTACTGTTTTTTTATATATGTTCTTTCATGACAAATAAAAACAAGACTCAAAAGGTAAAATTCTCAACACTACAAAAACTCCAAAGAAAACCCAAAGCACAAGTAACAGGATCCAAAGATGTAAACTTCTATAGGAGGAAAAATAAGGATGATCACTTCTGTGGGTGATTTAAAAGTATGGGCCAAGGTCACTCCTGTGGGCACTTCAAGAGCAGTATTTAAAGAACCTAATAGCATGGCATCTAAATTTTGCCCATCAAGAAGTGTTCAAAATGGAAGATTTTGACATCTTCCTGGAAAATTTTAAAATAAGAATACTGGAGTGAACAGGTATACATGGAGTAGAGGGGACAGGAAGATGGAAGACCATACTAAATATGTGTAAAATCTTAGACACCTGTCACCTTGCATGTTGACTGAAAATGAACTTTTTGGGTCTGCTAAATTCCTGCATCAGCTGTGGAAAGACAAACCACATATTTTATTGCATTACTTCATCTGCCCCAGAATTAGAAGAGCAATAAACTTACAGTATCCAAACGTCACCTTCAGAATAAACTCCCGTGATGACTGAGCCTCTCAGGTGCTTTCCTGCTTGCCTGAAATTTTCTTTCGCTGCAGAGACACAGATGAAAGAAGCTTCTGAAACTGTACCATCATGTGTGCTAGGCAGCTGAGACAGAATGCAGAGACAGCAGAACTTCATTATCTTTAAATTACAAAGATGAATACTTACTAAATGCTGACACTAACAGCTAAAACAATGTTTTGTGGCATTGTTGCTAAATAGATACCTATTGATATGATAAAAAATATAGGGTTCTTTTCTTTTTTTGGTAGCCTTGGCTGTTCTGGATTCACTTTGTAAACCAGGCTGCCTCAAACTCACAGAGATTCGCCTGCCTCTGCCTCCCCAAGTGTTGGGATTACAGGTGCCTGACTACAACTGTGGTTTTCTAAACAAATATTCTCTAAATGTCATTTTTTAAGATTTATAGCACTTAGGAGCTAGAGAGATGACTCAGCAATTAAGAGCACTAGCTGCTCTTCCAAAAGACTCGGGTTCAACTCCCAGCACTCACACAGTAGCTCAAAACTGTCTGTGGTTCCAGTTCCATGGGGCCCCGACACCTCACAGACACAAACACAGGCAAAACACCAATGCACATAAAAATAAATTTTAAAAAGTATAGCATGCTAGTCATACAGAATGGCCAAATAAATACTTTATATTTTTTTAATGTAGCACTAAAGCAGGGCAAACAAACACAGCTGTCTTCTTACATGCACCCTGGGTATGGGAAATGATATGTACCTTAAAATTACAAAAGTATTTAAAAAAAAAAAAAGCTTACTGCATAAAGGCAAAAAACTGGAAACTCTAGATCTCCAGCCCTGTCAGATACAGCTATGAGGGGTCTTTGCCATATGTTTCCTGTATTTTCTACAAAGCATTATTGTTACTGTTAAACTCTAATTTTTTTATTAGTCCTCTTTTATTAATAGGCATGATTTCAAAAGACTACTAACTTGGTAGATTTCTGAATATGTTTTCACAAATAGCATTTTCTACAACATGTAAAAACCTTATAACCAAGAAGTAAGTTTGAATCTAATCACTACAGACTAATGAAATAAAAAGGAAAAACAGAGATAGACTTATGGGTAAATGCTGTTCTTGACACATAAAGGCCATAAGCTTGATTCACTGCCATGTACCAAAGTCACAGCAGCTCAACAGAGAAACTTTGATGGGCAGGTAAAGGGTGTACAGTAGAAAGACCAGTGTTCAAAGTCTCAGAATCCATATAAAGGCCAGGCAGGAGTGGAGGACGCCTACAATCCCAGGTCTCAGTACTAGGAAGGAGAGAGGAGAGACCCCCGTGCCTAGGCAACTGGGTGCTGATTCCTTCTATCAAAGTAAACCCTTGTGGTTACATTCAGTATCAACATGTTCATCTTTAGGTAAACACAAAGTTCTGCTTTAAAAAAAAAAAATAGTTACTTTCCTCAAGATCAAGTGATTGGTCAGCTATAAAGAAAACTAAGGTGACTGTCAACCTACAGGCGGCACTTACAGCTCAATTTATTGCCACAGGTCATTTTAGGGAGAAACCAGTAACCTTCGAATGTGTTTTAGTCCATGATTCTCAAAGTGGAAAAGAGTCATAAAAAAATAAGCAACTAAACAATTCCACTGAGTGTGCCTGGTTTCACTTCTGAGAGAAAACAAGCCTACATTCTGGCCAGTCATCTCAGCTTATTTTCTTGTCTGCTAAGTAATCATGAAAATTACTAATGGTCTCTTATAATTTCCTCATACAGAAGCTTCTCTACTCATGGATATGTCTTCTTCAAAGCCTCTCGTGAACCTCCATATTAATATAAGAGCCTCAGAGGAGGGGCTTTGAACACTCAAAAGTAGGCAAGTTCTTGCTTATTTTTGGTGAAAACTGCCCGTGTCAGAACATAAAGCAACCTCAAATACAGGAAGTAACTATCTAAACAAAAAGTACACAAAGTGGGTACAAATGATGATTTAGCATGACCACGGTCCCAGCTACCTGGAAAGTTGCAGTGGGAGGACAGTTTGAGCCATGGAGAAAACGTTTTTATGGCTGTAAATCACAAGAAGGAGTTTTTATATTTTTTAATAGAGAATCAGTGTGAAAAAGTACTTGATCACACACAAATAATGATAAAATTTACATCTAGTCATCTTTCAACAGATGTAAAAAGTAAAATATTTACTTATGAGCAAAAGAATATTTCTGCTCTCATCAGGCTTACAGTATGTCTTTAAGCCATTACAAAAGTTGCTATGAATGATAAGTGTGATACAAAGTAGGCATTTTATAAATGTCAGTCATTAGTTTTAAGTAGAATACTAATTTGAATTTTAAAAATGATTCACTAGAGCCTTTCATCAATACACCCTTTCATTCAGCAAAGAGTGAAAGTCTAATTATTTTCAAATAAATGTCTGCTTTCCCCAAACCAAAACACACCTAAGAAAAGTAAAAAGGAACTTTTAACTCCTGACATGGTTGAGAATAATTTAGTTAAGAGAAACATATATCTATAAAGCATCACTTTGACACACCACAACTACCTTCACATAATTTAATACCACACTTCTTTCGTTGAGAAATAACCATATGTAAATTCCTGGATCATTTGGGCACAAACAATGATCAGGTACAGTTTCTTATATAAAGAACAGTATGAAAAATCCCTGTCATGATTTACAAGCAGAATTTTTTTTCTAGAGGAAACAGTATCCTAATTTGGATGCTGCAGCTTATTACATGATGATAAGATAGTGAAAACACCATCTTCCTGTTTCTAGTTGTTATATAGCTGCTTGGGGCTGTTTTGTGAGCAACTGCAGTATTTTCTGGACTTTCCCATAATTATCCTATTGTTTGACTGCACCAACTCTTATCCTTGTGTTAATGGTTTTACTGTGTTTGTGCTTTTAGTTGTCTGACAACTCCAATTCTTCTTGGAAGGAAGCCTAGAGTAAGGAAGTGAGAACTTCAGGGCACCAGGCACTTAAGAGTACAAGACAACAGAGTTAAGAGCAGACACAAAACACTGAAAAGAGAACAGGTCAAACAAATTCACTCCCTTCATAATTTTTTATAAAATGACACACATGGAAAAGCTAGCCCTTCTAGGATTTTACATTCTAAAATAGTAACACAGGACACATGTTCATATTCTTGTTTTGTTTTAGGGGGGGAAGACAGGGTTTCTCTGTGTAGTCTTCACTGTCCTAGACCTACTTTGTAGACCAGGCTGGCCTGTAACTCACAGAGATTTGCCAGCTCTGCCTCCATGAGTGCTGGGGATCACAGGCATGCATCACCGCACCTGGCTTCACCTGTTCATATTCTTATTATTTATTTTTGATAAGCCATTTGGCTTTTAGAGCTTTTGGAAACAACATGAAGAAATGGCCTACAATACATGGAAACAACAGATTTACAAATAACTAGGATGTTATATTTATATTATGTATATTTTAGTATATTTCTTAAAAACAGAAGACATAGCAAGACAATGTAAAATTAAATTAAATACATTAAAAAACAATACAGGCAGATATTGACTGATCAGGGTAAGGATATTTTATATCAGCAATGGAAATCTCAAAATTAACAGATTTGAAAACAAATTTTAAAATTATTGTCAACACTTGGCTAAGTCAACTGACTGGTAGAATATAAGGCTCTTAAAATCATTACTGTCCTCGTTGGGTTTTATTGTCACCTTGACACAATCTGATCATCAGAAGAGTGTAACTGATTAACTGCCTTTATCAACTTGGTCTGTGGGTATATCTGCGAGGGATGGTACCGACTGGGAACTGATGTTGCAGGCCCCAGTCAAGTGTGGGTGGAACCATCCCTCAGCAGACAGACTAGAAAGCTGGCCGAACATGAGGCTGAGAGTCAGTCAAAGTGAGCCAGCAGGCACTGTACCCGATGGCTGTGAGTTAGTTCTCTGACTGTGTAACGCTGCAGGAAATAGCAAGCAGTCCTGTGTTCAGGACTTGATATCCCTCAGTGACATACTGTGACCTGAGAGAGTAAGCTGAAATAAATCCTTTCCTCTCCTAAGTTGCTTTGGGTTGGATTATTTCATCACAGCACCAGAATGAAACAAAACACTTACTAAAACAAGTTTTTTGTTTTTTTTTTTTTTTAATAAGGGAAAAATAACTGAAACACAATGATCAAGCTTTAAGATCATTAATCTTTAACTATCTCAAATTATTCATTTAACAAGCACTAAAACGCCATTTTAAAATGAGTAGCAAACATAAATTATGATTAACATAATTTACAGAAAACACAGTCACTCTACTGGAAATCTATTCCCATTAACCAGTTTAAAACACACATAAGGACTCAAGAATTTTTTTCATACACAGAAGGAAAAAAGTAGAAAATATTATTTGTAGAAAAATTATATCTATAAATATAAACATATCATGTCTATAAATATATTCATCCAATCAAACTATGAAGCCATAACATTTATGAATAATACTAATCAGATGAAGAAAATATACTCATATAACTAAAATAAAAAGATATTAACTCAGACATGCTGTTTTAGCCTAAAAGCATTAAAATAAAAATATAAATAAACAATCTTTAGGTATACAGAAAAAGAATGGAAAGAATGACCTCAAACTTAAGAGCAAATCTGTGATGGTTATCCTAATTGACTAGATTTTTTAAAGTCTAAGGCAATAGTTCTCAACCTGTATGGTGTGTCTCCTTGGGAGGTTAAATTACTCTTTCATAGGGGGTCACCTAAGACCCTGGAAATATCAGATATTTATATTAAAATTCACAACAGTGGCACAATTATAGTTATGAAGTAGCAACAAGGCAATTTTGTGGCTGGGGTCATCACAACCTGAGGAACTGGATTAAAGGGTTATAGCTTTTGGACAGCTGAGAACCTCAGGTCTAAGGCAGGAGTGGACAAACTTCTGGGTGTGAGCTAGTGTGAACAAGTGCATCTAGGCTTCTATTTCTCTCTCGTGACTTGTGAGCTTTTTTGCTTTGGTTGGTTTTGTTTTGTCTTTTATTTCATTATTTCTCAGATGCTGATTCTTTTCTAATGGGAGACAGAAAAAGGGTGGATCCAGATAGGAGGAAAGGTGAAGAGGAACCCAAACCAGGAGGAGTAGGTAGAGGGGAAACCATAATCAAGATACCCTGTATGAAAAAATCTACCTTCAATAAAAGAAAAAAAAGAAATGAAAATTCAGAAAAAAAAAAAAAAAAGATGGGGAAAGAGACTTTGAGCATGGACATTCATCTCACTTTTTGGCCTGCCAGCTCCCTCTTGCCTCCACTCCTTCCCTGCCATGGTGCCAGGCCATATTCCCAAACTGAGTAAAAGCAAGTCTCCTCCTTTAAACTGCTTCTTGTCAAGTAATTGGGCACAGTAGAGAAAAAAAAAAAACAACTTTTCTTCAAATTTCTCTATATATTTAAAATTCTCTGTAAGAAAATATTCTTTCAAACAACTCTTAAGCAATGAGTGTTTAAACCATGAGATTTTTTTTTACTTTATTAACTTTTATTAATTACACTTTATTCACTTTGTATCGCCCCCATAAACCCCTTCCTCCTCCCCTCCTAATTTCACCTTCCCTCCCCCTTCTTCACACATGCCCCTTCCCAAGTCCACTGATAGGGGAGGTCCCCCTCTCCTTCCTTCTGATCTTAGTCTATCAGATCTCATCAGGAGTGGCTGCATTGTCATCTTCTGTCCCCTGGTAAGGTTGCTCCCCCCTTCAGGGGGAGGTGATCAATGAGCAGGTCAATCAGTTTATGTCAGAGGCAGTCCCTCTTCTCATTACTATGTAACCCACTTGGACACTGAACTGCCATGGGCTACATCTGTGCAGGGGTTCTAGGTTATCTCCATACGTGGTACTTGGTTGGAGTATGAGTCTCTGGAAAGACCCCTGTGTTCAAATTTCTGGTTCTGTTGCTCTCCTTGTGGAGTTCCTGTCCTCTCCAGATCTTACTATTTCCTACCTCTTACGTAAGATTCCATGCATTCTGCCCAACAGTTGGCCATAACTCTCAGCATCTGCTTTGATAGTCCACAGGGCAGAGCCTTTCAGAGGCCCTCTGTGGCAGGTTTCTAACTTGTTTCCTGTTTTCTTCTTCGTCTGATGTCCATCCTCTTTGCCTTTTGGGATGGAGATTAAGCATTTTAGTCAGGGTCCTCCCTCTAGATTGGTTTCTTTAGGTGTACAGATTTTAGTAGGTTTATTCTATATTATATGTCTATATGAGTGAGTATATGCCGTGTGTGTCTTTGTTTCTGGGACAGCTCACTCAGTTCCCACCATTTACCTGTAAATTTCATGATTTCCTTATTTTTCATTGCTGCGTAATATTCCATTGTGTAGATGTACCAGCTTCTGGCTATTACAAATACAGCTGTTACAAACATGGTTGAACAAATGTCCTTATTGTGTACTTGAGCCTCTTTAAGATATATGCCTAGGAGTGGTATGGCTGGATCTTGAGGAAGCGCTATTCCTAGTTGTCTGAGAAAGCACCAGATTGCTTTCCAGAGTGGTTGTACAAGTTTACATTCCACCACCAGTGGAGGAGGGTTCCCCTTTCTCCACAACCTCTCCAGCATGTGTTGTCATTTGAGTTTTTGATCTTGGCCATTCTGATGGGTATAAGGTGAAATCTCAGGGTCATTTTGGTTTGCATTTCCCTGATGGCTAATGAGGTTGAGCATTTCTTTAAGTGTTTCTCTGCCTTTCAATATTCCTCTATCGAGAATTCTCTGTTTAGCTCTCTTCCCCATTTTTTAATTGGATTACTTGGTTTGTTGCTTTTCAGCTTCTTTAGTTCTTTATATATACTGGATATTAGCCCTCTGTCAGATAGAGGGTTGGTGAAGATTCTTTCCCAGTCTGTAGGCTATCATTTTGTTTTGATGACGGTGTCCTTTGCTTTACAGAAGCTTTTCAGTTTCATGAGGTCCCATTGATTGATTGTTGCTCTTAGAGCCTGTGCTGTTGGTGTTCTGTTCAGGAAGTTGTCTCCTGTACCAGTGAGTTCTAGGGTATTCCCCACTTTTTCTTCTATCCAATTTAATGTGTCTAGTTTTATGTTGAGGTCTTTGATCCACTTGGACTTCAGTTTTGTGCAGGGTGATAAGTATGGACCTATTCGCATTTTTCTACATGTAAACATCCAGTTAGACCAGCACCAGTTGTTGAAGATGCTATCTTTTTTCCATTGTATGGTTTTGGTATCTTTGTCAAAAATCAGGTATCCATAAGTGTGTGGGTTTATTTCTGGGTCTTCTGTTTGGTTCCACTGATCCACCATTTTGTTTCTATGCCAGTACCATGCAGTTTTTATTATTGTTGCTCTGCAGTACAGCTTAAGATCAGGGATGGAGATACCTCCAGAAGATCTTTTATTGTAGAGTATTATTTTAGCAATTCTGGGTTTCTTGTTACTCCAAACGAAGTTGAGAATTTTTCTTTCAAGGTCTGTAAAGAATTGTGTTGGTAATTTGATGGGAATTGCATTGAATCTTTTTTTTTGCTTTCGGTAATCCAACATCCATTCATGTTTAAAGTATTGGAGAGACCAGGGATACAAGGCACTTATCTAAACATAGTAAAGGAAACATACAGCAAGCCTATAGCCAACATCAAATTAAATGGAGAGAAACTTAAAACAATCCCACCGAAATCAGGGACAAGGCAAGGCTGCCCACTTTCTCCATATCTCTTCAACATAGTTCTGGAAGTCCTTGCTAGAGCAATTAGACAGTTGAAGGAGATCATGGGGATACAGATTGGAAAGGAGGAAGTCAAGTTATCACTATTTGCAGATGATATGATAGCATACCTAAGTGACCCCAAAAATTCTACCAGGGAACTCCTACAGCTGATAAACACCTTCAGCAACGTGGCCAGATACAAAATTAACTTAAAAATATCAGTTGCCCTCCTATATACAAAAGACAAAAAGGCTAATAAAGAAATTAAGGAAACAATACTCTTCACAATAGCCACAAATGACATAAAGTACCTTGGTGTAACCCTAACCAAGCAAGTCAAAGACTTGTATGAAAAAAAATTTCAAGTCTCTGAAGAAAGAATTAGAAGAAGATATGAGAAGATGGAAAGATCTCCATGCTCATGGCTTGGCAGGATTAACATAGTAAAAATAAACCATGAGATTTAAAGGCTTAGTTTGGACTAAAGAGACAGCTCAGTAGTTACTGAGGAACCCTAGTTTGATCACCAGAACCTACATTAAAAAAAATCTCATGTTAACTGTTCTTAATATGCACACAAATGCACACATTACAAAACACAACCACATACACACATCGAAGCAAAACAAAATAATACAAAATGGGACATAATATTTCCAAATAATGCACAGTCTTACTGTATGAATTCTGGTAATAGTAAATTAAATATTTTGTATATGTTTAACAAGTATACCATAAATAATGTACATAAAATGTGCCAGAGTTTACATATATGACTAATAACGCCTACACTAAAAAAAAAAAAAAAAAGAAAGAAAGCCAGGCATAGCAGTGTGCATCTGAAATCCCAGCACTGAGAGCTGGAGACAGGAGGATGCCCAGGGCTTGTTGACCAACCAGTGCAGCCAATTTGTGAGCTCTGGGTTTAGTAAGAGACTCTGCCTCAAAATATAAGGTGGACACCTAGTGTCAACCTCTAGCCTCTACAGATGTACTCACAGGTAAACACACATGCACAAAGCATACATGAAATTAAAAAGTGAGAGCTCAACTCTACTTACCTGATGTCATGGCTGGACTAAAGAGCCCCAGTACTGACATACTAGTAGAGCTGAACAGGTCTTTATATAACTCCCCATGTAAGTATTTTTCTGCTTCTTGGATGGATGCTATGTTCACTGGACAAGAGATTCTGTTTCTGGATAAATATATAACTATGCTCAAAATTAATTTTTAAAGATATTTTACAGTTTGCAAAAAACTTAAAGAACCTAGCAAACAATAAATTACATAGACTACTGGACAAAATTATTCTTTTCAAAAACATCTGTCTCATTAAACGAGAATGGCAGAACATGCACAAAGCCTCATTATCAGTGTTTAGTCTGTGATCTTAGCTCTAGTACCCTTGAACCTATGAAAAGCATGTCAACAAAATATGGAGTTAGAACTACAGACCACAAACTTAGAAATCTCAGAGTGAAGCTGAATACTTACATCTGGATAAACTTCAGGAGATCTTTAGTTCCCAACATACCAGCATAAGACACTGGACTCTCACCTTCCTTATACAACTTTACCACAGGAAATGCAGTAACATTTTGCTTTGCACATACTTCAGACCAATCTGCACAATCTATTCTAGTGAGAAGGAAAGTGGATGTGCCTGAATTAAAGGAAGAAAAATGCATACTTTACAAACACTAATGCAGAATACTCACTGCTTAGTTTCACCATCTTCTAATCCCACTCATGTTAAGTGTATGCTCAGCATGACATACTCCTTTAGAACTCTCTTCCCCTGATCTCTGTGAGACCTTCCTTCCTGTTGGTATTTTCCTGTCTCTAGAGCTTCTCCCTTTTGGACCCTTCTGTAGGCTCTTCTATTACTGGAGTTGGGACCTTCTTAAGTCTGAGTTTAAACCACTTTTTCTCTTGCTCTACAATTTCTTTTTCAACCACCAACAATCCAATGCAACCTAAACTTGTATCTCTGGCCTGAACTTCTCCTTGAAGTTCCAGACTCAGCTATCTTTAGTGGCATTTCTATCACCTGTGAATGAACACATCCTAAAACTCTACATGTCTGAAACTAAATACAGTTTCCATTCCGCATAGTACTGAAGGAGGCCACTCTTGTGCAACTAAGGAACACTTTTTTCCTCTCCCTGTTCTGAAGTCTCCCATGCCTACCCAATCAGTTTCTGCACCTTTTTAATTTTACCATTCAAATTTCATGTTTCCAATTCTTTTATATTTAATGCCATTAATCTTTTTTTCTGGATAACTGCAATAGGCTTCTAATTCATTTTTCAGATTCAGTTATCTCTAAAATATTGCTAGAGATACCATTTTCAAACTCAAATCTGTTCTGGTGCCAGCAAACTCCTCCTCACCTATCGCCCATCCCTCCTTTGCTACCAGCCCATTCCCACCAAGCTTTGTAGGGGTAGGTATGTGTCAACATAACACTACTTCATGGGCACCTTGCCTGGCACCTCATTTCCACCAAGTCCCTTTGCTGAATGCTATGACAGAACTACATTACTCCCTTCCTTACATCGTTTTGTAGCTGTGTTCATCTGCACTATCTGAATAATGTCTGTCTCTATGAAGAGAACTCCTTGGAAGAAGGGACTATGCATGTACTCTTCTCATAAAGGCACCCATCTAGGGCTCAGCTATCATCTCCATCTAAATACCATCATCTCTTTTCAGCCCAGGAAAATGCACAGGACATAAAGCATACATTCTTAACTTGTTCAACAACAAAACATATAAAGTTCTCTGAAAGAGATCATTGGGTGAAAAGTGATTATAAAAAAAAAATTAACTAATACAAGTGCCACATAATTAAGCTAAGAAAAAAAAGAAATTCACTCTAATAAAAAAGTAAGAGTTAATGTATTATATTAAGAAATCTGAACTCATTGGCACAGGAGACAACTTCCTGAACAGAACACCAACAGCACAGGCTCTAAGAGCAACAATCAATAAATGGGACCTCGTGAAACTGAAAAGCTTCTGTAAAGCAAAGGACACCGTCATAAAAAAAAAAACAAAACAAAACAAAAAAAACCCGACTGCCTACAGATTGAAAAAGAATCTTCATTAACCCTTTATCTGACAGAGGACTAATATCCAGTATATACAAAGAACTAAAGAAGCTGAAAAGCAGCAAACCAAGTAATCCACTTAAAAAATGGGGAACAGAGCTAAACAGAGAATGCTTGACAGAGGAATATCGAATGGCAGAGAAACACTTAAAGAAATGCTCAACCTCTTTAGCCATCAGGGAAATGCAAATCAAAACGACCCTGAGATTTCACCTTACACCCATCAGAATGGCCAAGATAAAAAACTCAAGTGACAACACATGCTGGAGAAGTTGTGGAGAAAGGGGAACCCTCCTCCACTGCTGGTGGGAATGCAAACTGGTACAACCACTCTGGAAATCTATCTGGCGCTTTCTCAGACAATTAGGAATAGTGCTTCCTCAATACCCAGCTATACCACTGCTAGGTATATACCCAAAGTTTGCTCAAGTACACAAAAGGGATACTTGCTCAACCATGTTTATAGCAGCTTTATTTGTAATAGCCAGAACCTGGAAACAACCCAGATGTCCATCAACGGAGGAATGGGTACAGAAATTGTGGTATTTTTACACAATGGAATACTACTCAGCAATCAAAAAGAAGGAAATCATGAAATTTGCAGGCAAATGGTGGGATCTAGAAAGATCATGCTGAGTGAAATATCCCAGAAGGAGAAAGACAAACACGGTATATACTCACTTATATAGACCTATAAGATATAATAAACATAATGAAATCTATACACCTAAAAAAGATAATCAAGAGAGCGGACATGGGGTAAGATGATCAATCCTCGCTTAGAAAGACAGATGGGATGTGCATTGAATGTATGACAGGAGTCTACTGAGCGCATCTGAAAGACTCTAACTAGCAGTGTTTTCAAAGCAGATACAAAGAATCATGACCAAACCTTCGGCAGAGTACAGGGAATCATATGAAAGAAGGGGAGTTAGTTTGATGGGGAAAGGATAGGAGCTCCACAAGGCCCAAATATATCTGGGCACAGGGTCTTTTCTGAGACTGACATTCAAACAAGGTCCATGTATGGATATAACCTAGAGCCTCTGCTCAGATGTAGCCTGTGGTAGCTCAGTAACCAATTGGCTTTCCATAGTGAGGGGAACAAGGACTATTTCTAACAGGAACTCAATGACTGGCTCTTTGACCTCCCCACCCCCCAAGGGAAGAGCAGTCCTGTTAGGCCACAGAGGACGGCTTTGCAGCCAGTCCTGAAGATATCTGATAAACAGGATCAGATGAATGGGGAGGAGGTCCCCCCCCCCATCAATGGACTTGGAAAGGGGCACGGTGGAGATGAGGGAGGAAGGGTGGGATTGGGAGGGAATGAGAGAGTAGGATACGGCTGGGATACAGAGTTAATAAAATGTAACTGATAAGAAAAAAATAAAATTAAAAAAAAAAGAAACGTATCAAGACTGAGGAAACATCTAATCAATGATTAGCCTAACCTAAGACCCACTGTGGTAGAGAGCCAGCCCCTGACACTATTAATGATGCTCTACTATGCTTGCAGACAGGAGCCTAACATGACTACCATTTGGGATGCTCTACCCAGCAGCAGATTGAGACAGATACTGGGACTTGCAGCCAAACATGGGGCAGAGCTGGGGAGGGCTAGGGGAAAGACAGAAAAGACCTAGAGGGGACAGGAACCCCACAAGAAGAGCAACAGAGATAACTAACACAGATCCACAGGGGCTTACAGAGACTAAGATACCAACTAAGGAGCATGTATGGTCTGGACCTAAGTCCCCTGAACATTATGTGGCCGTAGCAGATGGGCAGCTTGGTCTTCACGTGGGTCACCTGGCAAGTAGAGTGGAGAGGGGACAAGGGGGGCCTGTTTCTAACATTGACCCTATTGTCTGCTTTTGGATCACTTCTTCACTTCCCCCTGGCAGGGTTGCCTTGCCTGGCCTCAGTGGATGAGGATGTGCTCATCCCAGATGTGACTTGATGTACTGAGGAAGGCTTATATGGGGAAAAGGGGCTCCCCTTTTTCTGGGAGAAAAGGGAGAGGAGAAGTCGGGAAGAGCAAGGGGGGACTGGGAGGAGAGAAGTGAGGAGGCTCCCCTCGGGATGTAATATGCAAAAAAAAAAAAAAAAGACTCTGTATTAATTTAGGACATCATCCATGTATAACAAAACTGTATGATTCAAATTATAAACATGTATTGTTTTATATTTTTATAATTTAAAAGTTCTCAATGTATTTATTTTGTGTGTGCTTTTCTGTCTGAGTGTATGTTTGTGCACCATGGGCATGCCTGGTTCCCATGGAGGTCAGAAGGGGGCATCAGATCTCCTGGGACTACAGTTACAGACAGTTGTGAGCTGCCATGTAGGTGCTCTGGAAGAGCAGCTATCACTGCTGTTAAAAGGTCTGGATATGGAAATCACCCTTATGCTTTAAAGGATTAAAGTAAGACCATCACTTCAGATTTAATGTTGCCTCTGCTTAACAACCAGAAGCAGTGAGAGTCACCACTGCAGTGGCGGAACTTCACAAGCACACATCCCATAAAAAAGGTGGGAATGAATATTGACATTTCTTTGCAGACAGATTAAAAAGGGTTGAGCTAAAGCATATTACTACCTGGACATCAAATGAACTAATAAAGATGCATCCCTTCTAAAGGCAGGCCTGCTGGCCATTTGCTTGCACTGCTCTGCCCCAGTGATGCATGCTCATGCCGAGCTTCATAGCTGCTACTGAAATGTGGAACCCAGTGAACACTACTACACGCTTCCTTTCCACAGCAACTGTCCTCCATGTGTGAGTCCCTCCCAAACTGTTGTCTCCAACTGAAAACTTTTATTTTCTTTTTACATGAATAAGAGCACTGATACATGTTATTTTAAGTTATAGGAGTCCTTATACTGAAGGAATTAGTTTTTAAAAAGTGGATTCCTTGTTGATTTATATTTCAGTCAACAGTCTAATAAGCTGACATGCCTACAGAACTGTATTCCGTAAATTTCACTAACATATTAATTTCAAAAAGAATTTCTAATCTGAAAGGGGGTGGTTCCTTTGATAAAATGACTAAGTATAAAAATCTGACATTTGCTGCCACCTTGTGGCTGAACAAAAAAATGTTCATAATCTTGAACTAAAAAATGGCTTTTTCTGAAGAGGCCAACAACAAAGACAGAGTATAGAATGAATGTCCAAAGTACTACAATATTTTTATAATTTAAAATTTTATGGTACAAGTTGAGTATCCTTTGGGTAGTGCATATGGAAAGAGGATGGTCAGATATGTGTTTATGTATTAAACTCAATGGTCTGGCTGGATAGTTGAGGACTTAGAAGGAGTTTGATTGAAAATTGGTTAGAAAGACATCTGGGGAATAGGTTATGTGGCTAGATCTCACCAAATGGGTAAAAGATGCAGACACTTGTGTCCCATGTAAATGCCCATCAAAAGGTGAGATAAGCCCATGAGTTCAATAACCAAATAGATAGGATAGCCTGGTCTGTGGAGAGGCAGCCTCTTCCCCTGGCCATCCTGTGGACCCATGGTTGTAGAGATGGAGGCTATCC